TCATTGCCGATGAACTGCTCTGGCAGTGCCGCCACTGGCAGGGACGCCTGCAGTGGTACGTACATGGTGTGTCCTCACCAGCTGGAAATGGCTGATACAGCTTACCAGAAAAGCAGCGGCTTGTCTAGGAGGTTTGGGGCTGCCACGCGATATGTAACTGAACAGTTTGCATTATAAAAGTGTGTGTTTTAATGATATATAATAATTATATTGGATGATAATAACAGACAAATGGAGCAGGTCACTGTGACATTTGAGCATCTGCATTCCCCATTGCAGCCCAGCCATCACACTGCTCTGAGAGCACAGGGGAGCTTTCTGGCTGCAAGGGCTGAGCTGAGAATGGGCAGAGGAGCAGTTCCTGGCTGGAATTTATTATGGGACGTGATTGATGCAAATACAGGTGTTACAGCCCCGTATCAGCCCGATGCACGTCTTGCACTAGTCTGATGTACCTGCAGGCTTAACCCTCACTGCCAGGGCTCTAAAACCAGCACGAGGGCACACTGAGCCAGTGCCCAGAGAGTGCCCAGCTCTTGGCACCTTTCCCTGGTCCCCAGCACAGCCCGCCCCAAGCTCCTGCCTGGAGATGGCCAGGATCCTGTTCTGCAGAGCTCAGCAGTACTACAGCAATGTCCTATCTGCTGAATAATTTATCAGGCACTGTGTACAGATTGCCTTTGAAAAGTGTTCCTGCTCTGGACATCAGCAGGAGCAAACACCTATTTTCTGGGTAGGGAAGGCCCCTACTGAGTGCAGGAGCTGCTCTGGAAAGGACCAGTGTCCAAAAAGAGATGGGATGAACATAGTCCCGGGGAGTACAGATAGGAGGACAGAGCTGCTGGGATCCCCGAGGCATCTCCAGCACCCAGGAGGCCCCGTCTCCTATGGATGAGCCTAGGAAATTGTGAGTAGCTTTCCCCAAACAGGGGACAGCAGGGAGTGAAGGGCAGTATGTTCTTAAGATGCTCAAAAGAAACTTGGAGTACAGAGTGCCTGGAGATACAACGGGTCCCACGCAGGAAGTACGTGCTGAGATAGGGAAGGATTGATGAGACAGGTCTCATCTTGTCCTTGTGTTGGGGGTGCTCAGATGCTCTTGGTGAAGTGATGGGTCCACAGGCACGGAGCCTCCTCTGCCCTTCCCCAGCCCCCCCCCCCCCCCTCAGGCCTGGGTGTTCAATTCCCTGCTGTTTACAGAGCATCAGCCCCCAGGCCAGGAGTGCTGCTGTCAGGAGGAAGAGAGAAAGCAAACAAAAGTGACGCAGGCCTTCTGCTCCAAGTGGTTCTCATATGGAAAGCCACGTCCTGTGCCTGTGTTTCTGGCAGCTGCCCTCTCTTCTGGCTCCGGCAGCACGATGTCTTCGCTGGCATGCTGCCGGCGGCTCCTAGCACCGGCTCCTATTCATTGACTGGGTAAGATTACAGTAACGGGGTAAATGCGGAAATAAGGCTGTATTTGCCACCAAACTGGTTTTGGATCCTAGTTTGTTTGCTTCTTTCCTACCTTCCAGGCTGGTGGCTGCAGGTGGGAAGTGGCTTTTCCTTCACACTGATGTTCTCTTGGGTTTACCCTTGGGCATAGCTGTGGCACTTCTGTGGTGGCACCAGAGGGGAAACAGGGAAGTGTGAGCCAGGCTCACCCAGAAACTTTGCAGCATCAAGGGCTCAGATCCAGCCTGCTCTGCCCTCACCAGTTTATTGTAGTGTGTTTTCTTGTCACTCTGTGCTGCCTGCACCCAGCTCTAGGCAGAAAGCAGCACCAGCAGCTTGGGGAAGTGGCATCTCAGACATCAAGCATCACTCATGTGCTCTCCCATTTCCCTGGCTTTTTGCTGAGCTTTTCCTTTCTTCTGAAGTGGGACTTGGTCAAAAGTGTTGGCATCATGAGTCATTGTGCATGGATGAATGAGCTGGGAAATGGCCACATTGCCCACCAAGGGCAAGACCCACAGAGGTCGTGACTTTGGATGATTTCTCATCCCCTTTTTCCTCTCTGCATTATCAAGTGCTGTCCTGTGCCATCCCATTCTCTGTTGCTCCTGAGAAGCTTTCTCCAGCCCCCTGGGTTGGGTTGTAACATGTTAGGAAGGTCCAAGAGTCCCTCATATCCATGCCCATGTGAAGGGGAGAGCAGAAGCTAATGCAGTCCTGGCTCCTAGTGAACAGTGAATGTCCTCAGCCATACAGGGACATGCAGGGGATGTCAGCAAGGAAAAAGACTTCCAGTCTGGGACTGGAGCTGGTGTGAGCTCTGCTTGTGTCTCCTCCAGGCTGCAAGGAATAGGAAAGGCCATTTTCTTGCACCCTGGGATTTCCCAGCCCCTGCAGGACAGTAGGGATGGTGCTGCTGTAGCCGCAGCAGTAGAAGACCTGGCAAAAGCAGGCATGTGGTACAAGGGTTGTGTCTAAAGCCAAACAGATCACCCAGAAGCAACCTGAAGTAACCGTGCACTGGTTTTTGCAGCGTGACCTGTCCTTTGTGCACTGGGAAATTAAAGCAGGGTGGGGTGCTGGGGAAGGAGGAAGCGTTGCACCCAAGCTCCTGTGTGCCCCAGCCAGTGCAGCAGCTCCCGGTAACCCCAAGAAGCACCCTCCTGTCACCCTGCAGCCCTGGGACGACTTTCCTACAGAGAAGGGTTCCGGGGCTGGCAGCAATCAGCCTGTGCGGAGTTAACATCCCCCCGCAGCCCCTTCCCTGCCGTCTGGCAGTGATGGAGAATGTGCTGGGGGCTGGATTCGGATGGGGCAGACGGGCTGGGGGCGTTCTCATCTTCGGTAGCTGGAGGGCTCCTAACGTTACTGAGGGGGAGGAAGAAGCCAAGCGGCCGTCTGGTGGGACCGCATCTCTCAGTGCCTGCATTCCTCATACCAGGGCTCCTGCATACTTTCTCCAAGACCACAGTGGAGCTGCAAAGCACTTCCTTCTACCAGGATATTTATTACTAAATATATGAATCTGGGAGCCTGTGGAGCGTGAAATTAGGAACAAATGTAAAAAGGAGGTCTAGACAGGAATTGTTCTGCTTATGGGCCCCCACATGCTCTGCTTTCCTTGCCCTTTGCATGCTGAAGAGTTTAATGCTGCCAGGTACACAGCTTTAATCAGACAAGTATGTTGGGGGGGATAAAAGAGCAAAAAGCCTTGCTCTGTATGGAGCAGTGGCTGCTGTGCCACGTCCCCTGGCTGCAGCTGGACAGAAACAGAGAGCAGTGGCTCTGTGCAGCACTCGTGTGTCCCCCCGGCGAGGGAGCTGGGGCATGAGGTGCTGGGCACTGATGGAGTGCACAAGAGGCTGCAGGCCTGAGTCTGGCCTCCCCAGGGCCAGGTCCTGCGCCTGCCCTGCATGGCCCTGCCCTGGGCTCCGTGGCCACATGGTGATTGCAGACTGGAGCAGCCCATGGACAGGCATTGCCGGGCATTGCAGCCTTCATCCCTCTTTGAACAAGTATCAAAGTTTCCAAACCGGCACTACCCTGTTTTATAAACCCTTCCCCTGGCTGCATTCCCCCCATGAGCCACCTCAGAGCATTTTGCCTGAGGAATGGGGCAGGATTTGGCCAGCACTTGCCCTGTGGCTGTGCTTCTCAAAGGCATTCAGACATCCTTATAAATTACCTTCCCTCCTGCAGCGCTGCTCAGCAGCAACATAAAATGTGATACTGCTTTATCCATTCAGCACTTGCCCAACTTTAGCAGGACATTAAGCGCCTGAAAATACGCCACAGATTTATTTTCTTTGGAAGTGGGTTAAATCCTTGACAGATACGGTTGCTTTTCCTCGGGTGCTGAAGTAATTTGGGTCTGGGATGGCTGTTTTTTTGTTTTAACCCGATAGCATGAGCTGGAGGCCAGCTTTGCTAAAGCACTTGTAGGGTAGGTGGTCAGGGTATGATTTTTCTCCTAATTTGTTGCTTCTCCTGCTCCCAGCCCAATGTTTGTGGCACCAAAGTGCTGCCAGAGCTTTAGCTGTGGAGCGATGCTGGTGTTAGTGTTGCTGTCTGCACCGCTGCAGGTGCGTGCAGGCAGGTCTCCCCAGCGGCTCCCCAGGCACTCTTCCTGTAGCAAAAAGCTTGGTCTTATTCTGTGTGGGAGGAAAGGAAATTCAAGTTCTCCCAGGAGTCCTTGGGACAGGGATGCTCAGAGCAAGACCTGAGCTGGCACAGCAGGGCTCATGCACAGCATCTGCCCTCTGGGGTAGACAGCAGTGTCAGAAGCAGGGACCTTCCACTGCTACCACTCTGTCAGGATGTGGATTCCTCTGAGGAACACTCCAAGGACAGAAGGTGCCAGTGGTACCCTAAACCACAAATACGTGGTGAGCTGAACCACAGTGTCTCTGTGATGTCCAGCACACTGTCGCTGTCCCCCCCCAACACCGTGGCCTGGCCATGGTGAAAGAGAGGAGCTTGGTGCCTCCTGCAGCCAGCAGACACATCCCAGGAGGGGAGAGGCCTGTCTCTGCTGTCATTAAAGGCTCACTTAGCAGCTCCAGTTATTCCAAATTAAAATACCACATTGTTTTCATGGGGAAAATGGATTATAGGCTCAGAGAAAAATGTGTACAGCTCAGAAATCCTTGCAGCAAAGCTCCTTCTCCCATCCCTGAAGCTCGCTGCCACCAGGCAGGGGCCAAGGGGGTGCCCTGTGTGCTGCTGGTGCTGGACAGAAGGTTTTATTTCCCCTGAGTCCTGCATGCAGAATAGCCCGATGTCACTCCAGAGCTTCTGCTCACGCAATTCCTCACCCACTACGTGAACCTTTTTCTACCCCCCTCCGCCCCTAAGGTGGCATTTAGTGGGGATCGGGACTCCTGATGGCTTTCACAGGTGCCCAGTGCCAGGATCTGGCCTGATCCTGTCCATCACCTCTCACAGAGCCCTCCTGGTGCCAGCCTCCCGAGCTGAGGGTTTGGGGAGCTGCGTCCCGGTGCATCGCCCAGCGCCAGGCTCACCCCGACCCCCCCACACCCCATCACCCCCTGCACTCACTTTTGCAGGCTGTTAATGGAGAAGAGTGCGGATGACAGCCGGGACCGTGGTCATCACAGGTGGAATATTAGCGACTGTCATTTTGCTTTGTATCATCGCTGTCCTCTGCTACTGTAGGCTCCAGGTAAGGCTGGGGGACATATCCCCAGTGCTGCTGCAGTGGGGCGGGAGCGCGGTGTCTCGGGGCTGGCACGCAGGGTCGTGCCCCTCAGTGGCGGGGTGGGAGGTTGGGACACAGCTGAGCCGCAGCCTCATGGGGCTGTCCCATTTCAGTACTACTGCTGCAAGAAGGATGAGTCCGAGGAGGACGAGGAGGAGCCCGACTTCGCCGTGCACTCCCACATGCCGCCGCTTCACTGCAACCGCAACATAGTGCTGACCAACGGCCCTTCCCTCTACGCCTCGTCCCCCTTCAGCAAGAAGCCGGCTCCGAGCCGGCCCGGCTGCCCCGGCTGCGGTCCCTACGAGCCCCCCACCTTCCTGCTGCAGGAGCCCCCCGAGGAGCTGCACAACGGCGGCGACCGCGTGAGCTACACGTCGGTGAGCCAGGAGGACCTGGAGCTGCCGGTGAGCGTGGCCAACCTGCAGGCACTCAACCCCAACCGGCTCTCGGCCATGCGTGAGGCCTTCTCCCGCAGCCGCAGCATCAGCACGGATGTGTGAGGAGCTGCTGCCTTCCAGCCCACAGCAGCACAGCGCCCATTGCCGCAGCAGCACAGCGCCCATTGCCACAACAGCACAGCGCCCATTGCCACAACAGCACAGCAATTCATGGGAGAGTTTTGAAAAAGAAAGAAAAGGGGAAAAAATTACTGTGTTTCTGCACTGTGTAGGCAGAGCCATCCTAAATGGTGGTACAGAGGGGTAGCAAGAAACCAAACACAATAGGCGAGCATGGGGAAGGACCGTTGCAGCTGGGACACAAGGTTTCCTAGTGCTGCATTGCATCTTTTTTCCTTTTATAAAGAGGATTTTGATATTGTGCATCCTTTAATAGAGTAAACGCTCCCCCTGGCCTTTCGGCTGGTGTGCCAAGCACTGACGAGCAAGCAGTGGGGCACACGGTTGGCTGCAAAATGGCTCGTGCTGCGAGTCAGCAGGCGCCTGCTGCCGGGCCGTGGGGGCACTCTGCAGCCAACAGCACCTGGCTCTAGTGCACATACACACGTATGTATACACACACACACACACACACACACACACACACACACACACACACGTCCCACTGCAAAGCAGGGCTCCTATTGCCCACGTCTCTGCCACCCCTCCTGCACTGCTCCGTAGTGCAGTCCTCCGTGTGTGTGTGTGCACAGCCCTGCCCTATGCCCAGTTAATCTCACACTCAAGTTTGTTGCTGATTCCCAGGTGTGAGGTGCAGTCCCCTCAGGGTTATGATGGCCACTGGGAGCACAGCACTGCCCCTGGAGCCCCTGGGGCAGCCCCCTGGCTCCCCAGTGGAGCTGGGCTGGGGAGGGCAGTTTCCAAACCCATTGCGTTACCTGGATATGGGAATAGCACACGGTGCAGTTTCGGGTGCAGGAATACACCCACAGCTGGCCTCTCCTAATAATCAGCATCCCTGCTCCAAATAATGAATCCCACATGTGACTTCTGTCTGAGCGCTGAGCAAGCAAGACCATGACCATGTATGTGCCCACTCTCCTGCATGCACATGTTTACATGCATTTGTAGGTTTTTTTTAAAACAAAAAAAAGCCATGACACTTTCTGTCCATCCAGGAATGTTTTAAAACACTTTCAATTTAGGCAAACCCCTTTTTTGCATCTTTCCCCCAGCCAGCAGAGAGGAGCCATGTCCCCTGCACTGATTGTGCAGTGTGGGGATGCGCCTGCTCTGGCTTCTCCTGTCTGTCTGGATTCCCCACTCCAGCCTCACGCTGCTCAGCGTTTGTCTGACAGAACACCCTCTTTCTCCTGGACCGTGCATTATTCAGGTTAAAAGCACCACGCTGGACCTGGGGATGGGGGTGGAGGACGGACTGGCTGCAAAAGGACATGGATGGCCTCGGCTGTGCTCTGCGCCAGCTCCTTTTTAAAGATGTGATGGGAAGGAGAAGCTGCAGCTTCAGCCCCATCAGCTCCCACACCCTGTACGCACCCAGCTGGACCTTTTACTTTTAACCAGAAGGGTTTTTAATTCCACAGCAAATCTTTTGAAGTATGAGTCAGTCTTTGCAAATGAGCATCTTTGACTTTCTCGGGGGGGGGGGGGTGGTGTCTCTTTGGGGTGGGAGGGGCTGGGTTTGGTTTCGTATGTGTTTAATATTCCGAGCTTGGTCCGAGCAGTGCCACCTCCGGGAGCACGAAGCCTCTGCTCTGGGGATTGGTGCTGCCTGGGCCCTGCTCCTGTGTACAGTGCTCATAGGGTTTCCATGCATCGAGCCCTCCTCTTGGCATTTCTTGTGACTGTACTCCTCTTACCAGCCTTCCTTCCTTCCTGCCTTCCTTGTTTTCTTCCTTCGTTCCTTACTTCCTTTCGCTGTAGCTTGGAAACTGAGCAGAGGGTTGGTTGGCTTTCACTAACCTTTACCTGGTGATCTGTTGTACAGGGAATCGGGGGGGGGGGGGGGGAGAGGGAGGAGAAAAAAGGGAAATAAATGACTTTGTCCTGGGATTTGGGGCTGCCCTTTCTGTCCCTGCATCTTCAAATATGGGGGGGGGGGGGGGCTATTGGCAAAGCTTGCACACAGGCACAGGCATTTCCCTGATGGAGGTAACCACAGTGCACACACTGGCACAGGGGATGCTGAAGAGACTCTGGCTCGGCTTTGAGTCACCCCTGCAGAAACGTGGGGCAAGGAAAGGCTTTTTCTTGCTGACACAGCATCAGGCCTCTTTATCTGCGGACTCCTGAGAAGCTTCAGGGTCACAGCTCCTAAAGCTGCACACAGAACCCCAGAGAGCCCCTAACCCAGAGCAATGGTCCCACAGTCTCTCACAGCTGAGACCTTTCCTTGCATCCCGGTCCAAACAGCCAGGACTCTCGTGACTTAGAGCTGCTGTTTCTCAGGACTATGAATGAGCAAGTTCATAGCCCAAACTGCAGCGTTCCCAAGTACACAAGCCAAACACTCACTACAAACTGGAGAATAAAACAAGGTACCACCATAAATATGACAACTTTATTAAAATATACATATGAGTACAAATTAATGATTATATGGATAAAGTTCACTGTCTGTAAACAAATATATTAAAAAAGAGCACGTCTTTTTTGTGATATAAAGTGCAGTTATGTTTCCATATTATATACAATATGTCAGCATTATGGGGAGGGTTGGAAGGACTATGGAACTAACATTTGATTATAAGATAAAATTCTCTGAAAAAGTATACACCTACATATTACAGAAGAAGGGCTTGGGCTGGAGCTTATTTGGCAAACAAGTCAGCTTCCACCACATTAATGCAGCTAATGAGAGTGCAGGGCTCACGATAAATTAGGAGAAAGGCACTCACCCCTTGGTGAAGGGAAACTTGGACTTCACAGAGTTCACCCCTTCCCCTTGTCAACCCCAAACTTGCACAGAGGAAAGAAATCAAAGGACAAGACCTTGTGAAACACGTGTATGTGTCTGCAGTTCGGGGAATCAAATATACACGACTTTATGTACAGCTCTGATAATGGGGGGTACCAATGTACAGAGGTAACAGCTTTGCAACCAAGCCATGCCAGCACTGGTCCTTACGCAGGAGAGGGACCAGAAGAGTAGTTCTGCATCAATGGGAAAGACAACCCAAAAGCCTCCTTAACACAAGTCTGTGGGGTGTGTTCTCCTTACTAAATGGCACAGGGAGCCCTTGCCGTGGGAAGCGCAGCCCGGTGCTGCTGGGCACTAGGAGTGGGGTGTGCGGCAGGAGCGGCAGCAGGCTTTGCTGTAGTACCAGTGGCTGCAGAGGTTGACTTTGATGGCCAAAGCACAGTTGGTTCCTGCCTGGTCCTGGCAGCTGTCATCTAGGGAAGAGAAGGCAAAAGGCACCAATGTGGAAAAGAAAGAGAAAATAAACCATTGTGAGTTAATGAGCGCAATTCCCTCCTCTACACAGGCTGCCCTAAGCACAAGGGGCTGTGCAAGGAATCATCCTGGCCCGTGACTGGCACCTCCCTGCCCTGCTATCTGGCAGAGCATCACCTGAAAGACACCATGGAGCTTGTCCATAAATACCATTGTCAGCCTACGCAAAGGCAGAAGGCTGACCCATTCCACCATGCCTAGCCTGGCTTGGGGAGCCTCATTTCATCCGAGCCCTGAGGCTAAAGTTCTCCCCTGTGCAACAGAGCTGCCCAGGCATTGCTGGAGCCACCAAGGCAGCCTGGCAGGGAGCTGCCTCAAGCCAAGTACCTGGCAGGGCATGGGGTAACCCCAACGTACTTGCACTTTCTGCACCAAAGAGGCTATTTGAGAAAGGGAATGGTAATCCAGCTGTGTTACAGCAGGAGTTAGGGGTGAGTGAGCTGCTGGAGACAGGGAGGAGGCCAGAGACTGCTTCAACACTCTCCCAGCTCCCTTCAGAGCAATATTTTGCTTCAAATCCATAGGATTTATGGTTATATATATATATATATATATATATATATATACTGCTTAAACCCATAGGATGCATGAAACATGAAGGCAGCTTGCTACACAGGGGCCACAAGGCACCTCACAGGCACCATGCCACATCCCTGACCACCTGGAGCAGAGAGCACCCAACAGGGCCAGAGCCAAGCCCAAAGCTAACCTCAAACCTGTCTCCCATTTTCATGCTTTTTTCCCCACATCGCCCTTATTCCCGAATCCTATTAAAGGATTAGAACCGTGTGTTCACTAAACATCACAGGGAGTTTGAATCAGCAGACGACTCAGATAACGAAATAGTTACAAATCCTGCAGGACATTTGAAGACCAAAAGTCATTAAAATTACAGCAGAGATGAAAGTTCCCAGACACTAGCTGGAATCACACAGAAACAGCACTGAGTCAGTGCTCCAAAGCTCCCATTTATCCTAAGGTCCTCACATGCTTCTTTTGAACTCTCCCCTTCATTTAACGGAGTTACCTCCAGAAACAGCCCCATTGCTTGGGCACAGAGCGAGAAGGCCCCGGGATGGTGATCAAATTGGTGGTCAGTAGGAGCTGACGCTGGCCAATGCTGCTTAGGGGAAAATCAGTGGCAATCGAGGCTGGAGGGGTGCTGCTGGCAGCGGGGCTCACCTGGGGGTTCCGTGGGGCAGGGCTGCAGGTCACAGGTCTGCTTGCCCACTGGCTTCACCAGCGGGTCACAGCCCCGGACAATGTCCTTCCCTTGGTAGCACTTCACATCCCGCATCCTCACACCGATGCCACAGGTTTTTGTGCACTGGAGAAAAGAGAAAGCAGCTGAGGCAAGGCCCCAAGATTATGCGGACCTGTGCTAAGCCAGAACCTGCTAAACGAGTGTGCTCACAGGAGATGTCAGGGCAGGGAGCTGAACTCTTCCCCTGGCTGAAAGCCATGTCTCAGTCCAGCACCACCAGCCCCAGACTCCATCTTTGCTGCCTGCAGCAGCTTCTGCCTGGGGATACAGGAATGTGCTCCCATCCCCTGGCACTGTGACCCTCTCTCCTCCTGCTGCTCTTTGCAAACAGACACGAATGAGTTGGCCCAGTCCATACACTGCTCCGGGGCAC